ACGTTGAAGCTGGTAACCGGATGGAGGCACGAGTTATACCTCCTAGACACAAAGTACAGGTCACTGTTTCATTAGTAGTGCCAGAGTCTGAATACAACAGAAATCTTGGGATATTCCAGGTAACTGTCTTATTTAATTCAGTATAACAAAATGTGGTTCACGCTGAACTTTTCTGCAATTTTCCCCATCATTTTACCTCGCCATTCTTAAGATTTACTGGTTCTAATCTGGAGGAGGGACGGAGAAAGGGGCTAATTTCTACTTAGACTTCTTTTGAAAAACCTTTTTTTTTTTTTTTTAATAGTGATAATGTTCGGCTTCTTACCTGTAGTAAACTAGTTAATTTATTATGGAACATAGTTAAGAACCGAAGGGGAAAATTTGTTGTGGAAGGGGAACAGCAGTGTTATTGTGCTAAGCTAAAACAGTAAGTAATGTGTCTGTTTGTCCTTATAGCCTGTGCGTTCATCACTGAAGTTACAAATAGCATTGCTGGACAAGGGGTGCTAGGGTTTCAATTCTGATCATGTCTTCAGGCTGTATATTATTGGACAATGTGTGTGTGTCTTTTTTAATAGCAGATAATGAGTTTGCTTCTCCTTTTGGATCTATAGGCTAATTCAAGGAAAGTCTTTGGTTTAGTAAAATGATAGCAAAGTCCTCCTGTTCTAGAAAAGGCATATTCTAGTTGAGGATGGGGGGTGAGAAGGGAGAACCAGGGTGGCGACATGCTCAACATTGAAAAATCGCATAATTGGTGATCGTAAGCAATGAGGATAACCTTTGGAAAGACATCTTATTTGATAGGGAATGAATGGCTTTATAGTTGGTAAATAACTACCGCAAATGATGATTAATTTCAAAGAGACATTTTACAGTGATGTGGAGTAATGGGGAGCTATGATGTGGCTCATATGCTATTTGTAGCCACTTGTGTGGAAGCTCCAAGGGATTCTGGTCTGCATTCTGGATTTTAACTCTGAATTATTTCGATCTCTATCCATGATTCCGTGTTGTTAATAGACAAATTTTATATGGTCTTAAAATATTTTTTGACTGAGTCCTATACTTTAATTTGTATGGAGCTCAAAGTTTCCATATAATCACGGCTCAGTATAGCCATTGAACTCATTTGAAAGGAGTGAAGTGGTTTAGAGGCAATTTGAAGTGCCCTTGTCTAGTTATTAAATTCAAATAGAGAGGTGGGTTCTTCTTAGGATATCTCTTCCATGTTCGAAGCTTTATACTCTTCCATGAAGATTGTGCTAGTTATAGATTACAACAGTTCATGTGGGTGTTTGTTTACATCTTTTCAAGCTCTTGGATGTTTCACCCTGTCTGTTTTGTCTCCTATGGTTGACTCTGTGTTGGTGAGGTGTTGGTGATTGGTGTATTTGTCAAACGAACAACACCTGAATCGACTTTTGTCAGAATCTATATGTTTCCAATTTTGACTTTGTGCTACTGTTCAAATCTCTTAGAAATAAATTTATTTTTTCAGCAGTAACTTTGTGCTGACTAAAAGCTTGCTGTTTATTCATAATGTATATCATAGTTGGATGATTATAGTTCGTTGCTTCATTGTGCTTGCGTTTAACTGTCTTATTTGATTTCTGTTCTTTTAAAGGTGAGGGTAGATTTTCTATCTTTGAATGGGAAAACCATTTCTAGCTCAAGCCAGCCAGCCATGTTAAGATTCAAAAGTGAGCCTGTCCGCCTAGTGTTGACTTTTCTCAAGATGGCTCCTGTTCTTACTGGGCGCATATCAGAAACTCAGAGTCTGAATGTGAAGATAAGAGGTTTCATTGAGAAGAATGATTTGCCTACTTCTTGCTTAAAAGTGACTCTGGAGCATCGAGCAGAATATCGACCTGGTGCCGGCATTCCTGAACTATATGATGCATATCTAATTCTGGAGTCAGAACTTCCCTTTCTGAAGAGGATTATGTGGCAATGGAAGATGAGCATATTCATATGGATCACAATGGTAGCATTCATTTTTGAGGTACTCTTGCTTTTATTGTGCTGTAGGCCTATAATTTTTCCCAGAATAAGACGAAGGGGTGGTTCTCCTCCTAGAACAACTGCCCAAAACAATCCTCCGGCAGGAAGTGGATAGGTACTACCTGCTTTCTCTTGCCCATTTTTTCATTAAATTCTTTTCCAATCAATCTGTACATGTGTACTGCAGGTTATGTATAATAAATTCTAGTGTACATGACAAGTTTCAATATGATCTATCCACGAGTCGCACGTTCAAATCAAATCTAGACATATGCATGTATGTACACCACACCACACAAGAATTTTTTGGTCATGTAATGTATAAATGTCAGAAATGGAACCTTCTTTTCATTCTTTAGTGTCGTGTAGAAGCTATTATGGAATTTTTAACTTATGCGTTCATGTGCTAATAAAGCTTTTTAGACATAAAAATTGATCAATTACAAAATTTTTACTTGAAAAGTATATTTTGATGAAAAATGTTTGCATGTTATGTACCGTGTAGCGTTTGGAAACGAGTGGTGTGTTACTGAAGACGTTTTTAGTGTTAGATATTTTTGGATCACTTTCTTAAGTTACTGGTGTATAGCAAACATAGTTCCTTGCTGATACAAATGATTTTCGTTTGTTTCCAATGTATTTGAATTCTTTCCTCATTCCTTCCTTTCATTTTAACTCCTCATCTTGTCCTTGCTTTTGAATCAAAAACTGAACGGCCAAGTATAAAGCAATTATTTTGAATGATATGGGTTAACTTGTTCTCTCTCTTCTGTTGCAGATTGTTAGTTTCTGAGGCTTGCATACAGCAATTCTACTTGCTGAATGTAATCCCCAGAAAACAGTATGAAGCTATTATAACATAAATAAATCTGAAATGTTAAAATTTGACCTGACTAGTATACTACTTCCGCTTTTTAATATAAAAGCTAGTTGATTAATTTGAGTAGATTAAAAAAATTAGTAATGTTAGTTATTTTGAATAAAGATGTGTTGTTTTTCCTAAAATATCCTCACTAATCATGTATATTGTTTAGAATTACTATTACTATGATAAGGACTACCTTGAGAAAAAACGAATAAATATCAGAGACAAGGTGAATTAGAGTCTTATATTTAAGATCAAAATAAAAATTAAATAAACTCTCATATTAAGGAACAGAAGTAGTATATCTATAAACTATTAAAATAAAGAAATCAATGAATGAATTTGATTAAAGGCCAGCCATTTAATTTGTAATCCAATAGTAAGAATCGAACGAGAGGAAAATTAAAAAAAAATTGAAAAAAGGAAGGGGGGGGGGGAAGGAAGGAGGGAGGATCTAAATTCTAATAATAGAAACGGCACAAGAATATTACGGCAACCCGTGACGTGTATCTTTTCCTACTTTATGTGCTTTATTCGAAGCTGACGCGTTTTAATTAAGCTGCCGCCATCAACATCCTTTTCGTCTATGACGCGGATCCTTCGCTTTTCATCATCTAAAGTTGCGGTGTTAAACCCTGACTTGAATTAGTCAACTCTTAACTCATCAACTGTTAAAAGCAAAATAGTATTCATCATTTAATACAAGTTCATCCATCCCCACAAATTCACATGACTCACGCCGTGTTTGAATTTTACTCTCACGGTTATGCATTTAGTGCACAGCCTTCAGTGATTTTTTTGTAAGATTTGAATCCTCTCATCACTAATTCGTATCCATGAATACTAGTACTTCCTAATATTAACCAACAGAGAGATAGAAAACTTAATAAATATGACTTTTATTATTTGCAATGTACTAAAAAGCAAAAACCAGACCCACCTCTCAACTGGTCGGGCTAATAGAATAACTGTTAGTAGATCAGGTTAGAGTTAGTCTAAGAGTCAAACTGATGATAAATAAAAAATTTTAAAAATAATTTAAATTTTTATCATGCTATCCAATGACTAAATATCAATTCATTAAAAAGTAATCATATACTTATAATTTCTTTCTAGCCTTCCTTACAATTTTTTTAACAAATTGATGTCATAGTATTAATGTATTATATTACCAAAATCACGAAATATTTATCCTAACAAAATATCAAAATAGATATATGATAACAAATATTCCTATTCACAATCACTTAATTATTAAACTAATAATTATCAATAGCTTAAAAAAACATCGAGAATGACGTTATTTCTTTTCCATCAAAACATCTTTTTTTAAAATAATAATAATAATAATAATAAGCAACAAGCTTAACAAATCAAACTAGTTAGGTTAACTGGGTTGCTCTTGAAATGATCCGGATTACTCCAGATCACCTTAGGTTAAAATTTCTCAGTTCACAAGCACTTGATTGGACCCGCTTGGTTTGCTATTCTACTTTATCAGTCCGGTTTGATTTTCAATACAATGATAATTCCTATCCCTTCTTTTTCCTATTTATTTCATCATGACGAATTATTTCTATGAAGAAAGCATTAGAGGATGACAAAGTCTATCCCTTCTTTTTCTTATTTATTCATCATGATTAAGTACTTCTATGATGAAAGCATTAGAGGATCTAAGTTATTTTCATCATTCTATCGTTTTTTTTTTCAAGTTTGTTGATTCTTTGACTTGATTGATTCAAGGGCAGGTTTGAATGTTTGATTGATAAGTATAATTTTCATTAACATTGTAGAGCCCTCGTTGGATCAAACATTCCGTCTGAAATCAAACTAACAGATCATTAAATTTTAATTTAGACAAGAAATAAAAACGAAAAAAAAAACATTTTATCCACTACGCATTATTATATGATCTTATTTACTTTGAGCTGCCAATTCCACTTTTTGGGTGTTCAATTCCTCTTTTTACGTGAAAAATGAATGGGCAAACAACCTTATCCATACCTCCTTTAAAATGCACACAACTTAATTCTCTTTTAAAATTTAATAATTTTTTAACTTTATTCTTATTTAATATACATTATATTTTATAAAAATAATGTCAACCTAAAGAATGAAATATATATTCATATGAAAAATTTATCTCTCTATTTTATAAATAGGATAAAAAAAATTTATTCTATGTCCTATAAACGACAGAGGAGTATAGAATAAGAAAGGATAAGATTTTCCCCAAAAGTTTCCTAATTATTTTCTAATAATCTTGTATCTACGTACAACTTTTAATTACAAGACTATTAACAACAAAAGCAGTGATTTGAGGACCTATTATCAACCAAATGATCAAAATCACTTTGAGGAACCACAACGGTTTGAAGCTTTGACAAAAGAGGCCATCTTTGTGATCTCTCCTATTGGCTTGTCGGTGTACCTTATCATGTTGTACACCCATGCACCCGCCACTGCTCCGGCCACCGGCGCCGTCATGTACACCCATATTCCTTTGTATTGGTGCCACACTATCGCCGGCCCTAAGCTTCTTGCCGGGTTCATTGATGCCCCGGTCACCGGCCTGTCAATCAAACAGACATAGTAAAATGAATACCATGCCCATTACATATAGGATTGTTTGATGGGTGTTAAGAATTTATAAATCTGCATTAGACTAATTTATGTCCTTAATATAAAATTTAGTTCACTAATTTGAATGGACTAAAAAAGTTTATTAAGTTAGTTATTTGTAATAAATATGTGTTATCCTTTATAGAATAGCCTTACTGATCATGGGTATTAACTAGAATTATCATTTGATGAAACATTTAATATGTGCAACTACTCTAAAAACTACTTTAAAAAGTAGATAAATATGATAGACAAAATAGATTGAGATCTTATATTTAAAACTTAGTTAAATATCAAACTAGCTCTTATATTAAAGATCAGGGTGATATCATTTTAGACCCCAAACAAATAATTTGTGGCCAAATGTATGACTTTGGTCAAACTAAGAAACCTTAATCCCTCCTGTCCCTATTATAAACTTTAAATAAACAATTTGTGTATGATAAGAAATCAATTAAAAGCAATAAAAAAAGAAATATATTTTCATTTTTAAATGATCATCATAACAGATAAGAAAAAGATGAAAAAGAATGTATGAAAAAATTTAATAAGAGTAGCAGAGAAGGGAGAATAAATTAAGGACAAATTTTAAAAAATACATTATATGGTTAGAAAAATGCAAAATAAAGCTTATAAAATTAACAAATTTAAAGCCTATTTATGGGACACAAGGTATAAAATTAATGAAGGGCAAATCAGTCCATACACACGCACAAACAAATTTGTCGTCCAGAGAGAGAGAGACCGAAAAGGTGGGGTGGGACCCAGGGGGGCCCCCACCGTCCCCATCGTCTTTTCTTGTTGCATCAAGGGATGGCAACAGATAATCCAAAACCTTTCATGAATCATCATCAGAAAAAACGAAGCTTTTTCTCATGAATCTCTTTGTGGTCAAATACGTAATGAGATATCAATTTGAAGCCAAAAAGATGATTGCGTGGAATATTAGGAAATGGGATAAGATTCTAATACCCGGCAAACATAACATTCAGCAACACTGTTGCCCCTATGGCGATACCAGCCAGCTCACCAATCTGGACAATTCAGAATCACCACACAGAACATATTAAAATCTCTAAATAGAATGCAAAACAGAATATTATTCAAAAGCAATTTTTAATACGCTTCTGATGTAACCTTCATCAAGCATGCCACCGAGGGATTCAAAGCAAACAGTATATTTAACCATATTTAGTCAATTTCAGTTCCATTCTTTAATATTTCACCACAGACACAGCAGATTATCAACCTCATTCCCTCTGTTATCTGCATCTACATATCAGACTACTTAACAAACCAGAAAAAAGAAAAGAGAACTCTGAGATTACCGCTCTGCTATCTGTGGCCACCCCAGATATGACAAACATGAGATAGAAGGTGATGATGAACTCGATCACAAAACCTTGAAGATTCGTCCCAGCAACTGATGTTCCTGGGAACTGGTCGCGGCTTCCTTCAAATATAAGTCTCAGAGTCCCACTCGCGAGGGTCGATGCCAGAACATGAACCGATACATAAGCTGGTACCTGCAACATCAAAATCATATATATGAATCAGACAACAATTTAACTTCATTTCACAGAGGACATCGATGAATTAAGGTTAAGGTGCGATGATTAACCTGTTTGAGGGGAAAACGTTTCGTAGAAGCAAAAGCGATAGTGACGGAAGAATTGAAATGAGCACCGGAAATGTGACCAAGGGAATAGGCAAGAACCATAACAACAAGACCCCAGACAATGGAAATCCCAGGTTGCGTTACTTGGTTGTCGTAGCCCTTGTTCACCATCACCGCTGCTTGGCCGGCAAATATCAGAAAGTATGTCCCCGCGAATTCTGCCACCAACTGTAAATAATCAAATACCACAACCTCAGATAGGTTAGCCAGCGTTTTGGGGAGATTCAAGTTTGAGACTTTTGAGAGAGAGAGAAGGAGTACGGACCTTCTGCAAGAAAGGGACCGAGATGGAGATGCCGGAGTCTTCATTGGACTTGTCATTGACGTTCAGAACAACGTCGTGGGTCCCATTGGCTGCGGACGCCTCCGCCATCACCGACTATTACAGACGACGACGAAGATAACTTCCAGAGAGAGGGGGGGGGGGTTTTGGGGTGGTGGGTATGAGTGTGAGAGAAAGGAGGGAGGACGAGAGGCCAATTTATAGGGAGGGAGGAATCCCAAAGGCTATGGAGATGGAGATGACTGACTCCAGCTTTTGAATGTTGTTCACTCTGACTGTTCCAAATCACACCTGAAAGATCACTCTATTTGCCGCGTAAATTGAAAAGAAATTAAAAGACAGGGAAAAGATGTGAGAATCCGATGTTTGGAGAAGGAAAGAAAAGTAAAACGGGGGAAGGAGAGCGGGAAAATGAGGGCTCAAACCCATGACCTTTCTCCGAACTTTGCTACACAAATACAGAGAGATTTTTTTTTTTTGGGTTGGGGGCCGGGGGGATTCTTCTTCCACTTTTACCCCTGCACCTCGCCGTTTTTTTAGAGAGAGATTCACCACCACTTCCCCACCCAATCGGCCAATCCTATCGAGGGTGTGTTTGGATGAAACCAAACCGTGATTTGGAAAAGTGATTTTGGATAATAGATTTTGGAAAAAATAGATTCTGTGAAGAATAGATTTTGTAAAAAAGTGATTCTGCGAAGTGAGAGTGTTTGGATAATTGTTATCAGAAGCACTTTTTATATATACAAATTACTAAAAAAAAGACATAAGTTAATATGATAATTACAGAAAAAATAGATTTTATGATATATTTTAATTTGAAGGAATAAAATTGTTAATAATATGTTTTTTACCAACATAATTAATAATACATAAGATAATATAATTAATAAATAATTAATGTGTATATATATTTATAAAATATAAGATTAAATATATTTATAAAAAAATATGTTTATAAAAAAATAACAAGATACATATCATATAGGCCCTCACACTCTCCCTTATTTCTCCAAAAAAAAAAATTTTGCTTTTTCCAAAACTATAGTTTTGGAGTCAAAACCATGGTTTTGACCCAAAATCATGGTTTTGGTTTTTGGAGGGGGTGTTTGGGTAGATTATTTCCCAAACCATGGTTTGGGTCCTCAAACCATGGTTTGGGGTGTCACCCAAACACACCCCGAGTCAGTTTTACAAGTATGAAAAATATATTTTTTCCAATTTATTTGGAAAAATAATTTTAAACATATATCATTTGCTTTTTTTTCCTTTCAATTTATCAGTGTCACGTTTGACCACTTTTTATTCTCCATATTTTTTCTTCTCTCCTCTCCTCGATTCAAATATGAGGATTGATAACATTATCCATTCAGTTTTATTTCCTTATTTTTTTCTCAATTTTTGTCCTCATCCAAACAAACTACTAATGCACTTTTTTAATGAGATTGTTTGCAAGCTTTTCGTGGAATTTAAATCCTCTCATCATCAAGAGGTAACCGTGAAATACTTACTAATATAAGTAGAGAGATAAAAAAAAATAATAAATCTCACTTTAATACTCCTCTAGTCCTTAATTTTTAAAAAAATTAGCATGATCTCCTCAAAATATATTTATGCAATATTAAATTATATATTATATATTAATCTATAAATTAGAAGTCTTGAAAACATTATAAAATATGAATGATAAAATGAATTAAGATTTTTATATTTAAGTTTAAAACTAACTTTCTAATTAGCTCCTCGAGCATAATATTTATTTGTTTAGAAGTGAGATCCAATACTATATTCATGTCCTTCTTTTTCTTTTTTATTCCTCATGATTAAGTACTTTTATGATGAAGACTTAAGAGGATCAGAATTCTTTTTATCATTCTATGTTTTTGGTTTGTTGATTCTTTGACTTGATTGATTCAAGGGCTCGTTTGATCAATATCATTTTTATTAACATTATTGCGTAGTCATAGTTGGATCCAAAATTATTCTCTCCAACTTTCTCTCTAGTTTTTATCATAAATTGTTTTTAGAAAAAAAATTTTGGTCTCAAATATAAATCATTTAAGGAGTTATTAATGACTAATTTTTAATTTTACTCATATTAAAAAAAACAGTAAAAAAAATGTATAGCATATTTTTTAATGCGTAGTTTTTTATAAGGGCAAATTTGAAAATTTTATCAATTTAAACATATATATTTCGACAAAAAATTTAAGCATATATATAATGACTTGTCACTCCTATTTTTTTCAACAGACTTAACTTCAACTCCTTAAATTGTGAGAATTAGTTGAAAGTAAGTTATAATAACATTCAAAGTGGTATTTGATCAAACTAATTACATATCATCAAGTTTTGATTTATACGATCTTATCCGGTTCGAGCTGCCTAGTCCTCTTTTTTAGTGTTCAATTCCTCTTTTTACGTGAAAAGCAAATGGGCGAAACAGCCTATCCACGTCTGATTTAAATGCATTCACATTCAACCTAGCTCTTTTCACACCAATCCATGGATTTAAAAGTTATTTGTTACAAGAAATTACACACACAAAAAGATTATAAATAAAAAACAATTTCATCTCCTGATTTCATTAGCCTCAAAGTGATTATTTTTGTGTCTTATTTTCAAAAATTAAATTTAATCTTAATTAAACTGAATTTTGTCAAAATTTGTATCAACATATAAAATTTTAATGTATCGTCTTTTTGTAATAGAATGAAGCAAATGAATGCACATGCTATCTCTAAACTTCACTTAAAAAGACAGAGATCGGAACTTGATTGTTTTTAATAGATTATGCTCCATTATTTTTTTCATTGGTTTCCCCTGGTTTTCGATTCTATTTTTATTTTTATTTAATTTAATTTAATTTAACAAAAAGACTTAAAAAAATTAAACACTTCACTAAAGAGGACAACGTTTCTTAATTTTTAAAAAAATTCCCTGTGACTTCCATCTTACTTATGAGAAAATGAATATAATTAATTTTTAATTTTTAGCCTTTATTGAATATCAATCTATTAATTATTAAATCACACGTGAAGTTGCCAACTTTAATTCCACGGAGAAGAAAATGAATAAAACAAGATGATTATATTCATCAATACCTTTGACTAAAATATACGAATTATTCGTCACGAGGTGTTCATGCATTTATCAATTTTTTAATATGCTAATCAGGAAGGATAAGATTTTCCAAAAAGTTTCTTAATTATTGTCCAATAATTTTGTATACATTACATGCTCTAACGAGTCCACATGTGACTCATCATCTCCTTTCCCTTCCTTTCCTCTCCTTTTAAAACTACAGGAACATTAGAAGACTACAGTATTTCCCCTTGAAACCTAAGAAATTAAAACAACAAAAGACAGTGATTTAAATTAAGATTTATTGTGACCAGAATAACCAGAATCACTTGGAGGAAACACAACGGTTGGAAGCTTTGAGGAAAGAAGCACTCTTTGTGATCTCCCTTATTGGCTTGTCTGTGTATCTTATGATGTTATAAATCCATGCCCCTGAAATTGCTCCGGTCACCGGCGCTATCATGTACACCCATATTCCTTTGTATTCGTGCCACACTATTGCCGGCCCTAAGCTCCTGGCGGGGTTCATTGACGCTCCGGTCACCGGCCTATCACACAAGAAAATACACGTACTAATTAAAATCAATATGATGAAAGCATAGAGAATAATTAGTGCAATTTTAACCCTGGGTTATATTTCTACTAAAATACTCTTATTATTCATATGCATTAAAATCAAAACACTTAACATATATGATGACTGTGGACTATTTTGAGAAAAAATAAATACTTACAAGGGATAGAGTGATTGGGATTTTATAAAAACCAAATTAAATATAAAATTAGGTATGATTTTAGGGGGTAAAAGTTAGAAGTTAGAACACACATATAAATAAACCAAAGTTTGAGAAAATGAAAGTTCAAGGAAAAAATAGACCTTTTAGGTTTGGTCAAACGTCTGACTTTGATCATACTTATGAACCTTAAATAAAAGTAATGTTTTGAGTATCGCAACACCAGATACATGTTTGTAGTCTAAAAAGGTGTTTAGATATTGATTTTAAAAATATTTTTACAATGTATAAAATAAATATGTAAGAAAAATTTGCCTGATTTTATAAAAAAGTAGTTGTTTCCAAACACCTGCTAACTCCCTAAGAGAGACAGAGACCTAGAACGGTTGGTAGGACCCACTATGCAGCAGGACTCACCACCCATCACCCACCGTCTCACTCGTATTTTCTCATTTCATTTCAGATTCAAAACGTTCCATAAATCATAACATAAATGCTGCGAGCTTTTTCAAATAGCTACCCCACATCTTGCTTTAATAGAGAGGCGGTTGCTAAAAAGAAAAAGGAGGCTTTTTCATGAGTCTCTCTGCGGTCAACTATTGCAATGAGATCCCAATTATTTGAAGAAAATAAATAAAAAAGATGATTGTGTGGGTTATAAGGAAATAAGAAATGGGGCAAGATGATAATACCCAGCAAACATGACATTAAGCAACACGGTTGCCCCCACCGCGAGACCCGCCAGCTCACCAATCTGCACAATTCATAATCACAGAACAATACATATAAAAAACCTTTAAAAAAAAGGTATAGAACATTATTCAAAAACATATTTGATACGCTTCTGATGTAAGCTTCAAGCATACCACCAAGCGATTAATTCAAAGCAGCAACGTTATGTTTAACCACATTTAGTCAACTTCGGTTCCATTCTTTAATATTTCATCAAAGACAAAGCAGATTGCCAACCTCTTTTATCAGAGAAGTTAACGAACCAGAAAAAGAAACAAGAATTCGGAGATTACCGCTCTGTTATCTGTGGCCACACCAGATATGACGAACATGAGGTAGAAGGTGATGATGAACTCGACCACAAAACCTTGAAGATACGTCCCAGAAACTAATGTTCCTGCGAAGTGGTCGCGGCTTCCTTCAAATATAAGTCTCAGAGTCCCACTCGCAAGGGTCGCTGCCAGAACCTGAACTGATACATAAGCTGGCACCTGCAACATCAAAATCATATGTACTACATGAATCAGACAACAACTTCAT